TTTTTTTTTCTATAAATATATGTTGGGAAAATCAGGGTTATCATCTAGCAACTTTTAGTTAGAAATTTAGAAGGTAATGTGAATGATTTACTGACACTGCCTGTATGAAAAACGGGCCATCAAGTGGTTAAAGGGGAGTACCAGCATTTTCTCTTCTTAAAGATCCTCTGGGTAGTTTTTTTTTACATCAATGAAACAGACTGTAATTTATACTGATGTCTTTTTAAGCAAAAAGACCATCAGTAATATGACTGATGATTTTAATATTGTATTTTAACTGCCAGAAACTGGTGCGAGAGGGGAGGTGACGGCAGAGGAGAAGAAACAGCCTTGTTTTTTTCCATTTGAACTTAATATATTCATAATAGCTAATACATTTGACTGCCAAAGTCCCTCTTGGGGGCTCTGAGTGATGTTTTCTGACAAAAATATCATCCTACTGTCCTTTAACAGTGATGTGTTTTTCTCACTTTGAATATTTGCTGTGTTAAAAGTAAGACAGCTGTTACTTTCATGAGTAGCTAACTGTCTCATCTGACACCTACACCCTTAGTGTGGTTACAGATGTTAAAAAATACAATATAGAAATAGATTATTTTATTGATGATGGTCTCATTTGCTTTTCAGTCTGCCAGGGAACAGCTGAACATCACCGACTGCTGAGAAAAGGTTGTTTGCTTCACATGGCAAATCCTGCTCTCACCTTGATTATCTAATAAGCCAAGTCATGCAAAGGAACCTGTTTTTTCTGTTCTGTTCCTTTGGCTGTCCTTGGTAGAGTTCCTGTGTTTTCCTCTACCACCTTGTTTACATGTTGGTGTCACACTATTGAAGATAAGGTTTTCCAACATTCATGCGGCATTCATCAAAGACCACTGCCAACAATGAAAACACTGGAAAAATTTATGGCTACTAAAGTGATAAGGTTTACACTAATCAGGCAGCTCCACACCACTAACTGTCTTTAATCAATCACACCTTTATATCCTTGTTATCTTGTTAAGGCTAAATTGTATAACCTCGGATAGCTTTATGAGCATGCGTATGTGTTGTATTTGTGCAGTAAAACAAACTATACTTTAAGAGATGGATTTTTGTTTGCATACTGTGCGTATGTTATTTGATGTCTTATTCAAACGACAATAGATAAAAGGCGAGTACGTTCAAACTCTTCATGTGACAGTGACTCCACCTGTTTGGCCTCAAACTGGGTTCACACTTCTGATGTAACTCATATGACCGAGTGTGCAGTCAAACCTGATAAAAAAACTTACTGTTTACTAGGTGGAAAGAAAAGTCACAGACTCTAGCTTGAGCTCTCATTAAAATTATTGGGTGTGTGAGAGTTGTGGCCTAAACACAATGTGAAGTAAAGCCCACATGAGTTAGCACATAGCCCATTATGCACGGTTATCACAGTCCACTCTGAAAGGCTGACTGGGCAGAATGTATGAAACATTCAGAGAGTACTTTTTTCTCCCAAATCCGTGAATAGACATCCTTGTCTGCATAAAAGTGCTCACTGTTTGACCACATTTGCACTTTACCCGTGTCTTCAAACCAAAAGCGGTTGGTGTGATTATGAAGTGTGGGACAATCGAAGTTTGAGCACAATGACTGATTTGTGGGAACAGCTGATCCTAGTTTGAAGAACTTGTCCAAAATTATTTTGCCTTTGGATGAAAGTCTCCTTGTTACTGTATGTGAATGCGTGGCTTATTCTCACCATGAACCCCTTGTATGATTCTGTACATAGAGATACTCACATGAAAAACACACATCATCAAATAGTTTTGTGTGGGCCTTTAAAGCTTGCTGTCTTCGGCGTCCAACAAGTCTGACAACAAAAAAACAGAAAAAAGAAATCAGTGTCGCTCTGCTAACCAAACATAAAAAGAAACCATTACAAAGGTTGAACTGTTTTACCCCTCTTCACCCCCTCCGGCCCGCCCGCCCGCCCTTTCTTTTGGCAGAAACAATGTTGCTGCATTACTTGACTGTTATCCTTCCCCCCTGATGATTTTCTTTAGCATTTTTTGCTCCCCTTGTTTGAACAGATGCCGCCCCCCTCCTGCAGCCCCCATCCTCTGAAGCTGCCATAAGACTGAGTACAATGAGGCAACACTCACTTACATTAATGTTAAGAGTCCAGCCCAGGCAGTTCCTTCCAGTCAAAGACATCAAACGATATGATGTATATCTCTTCCCGAGGAAAAACTTGTCTTTTGTCCTGCTTTATTTATGAATGGGTTATGAAAGAGGCTGCTGCATGACCGTGCTCACCTCTCGGGCCGTCCATTACTGCCCATAAAGCATTTTATAGCAGGATGTAACCAAACTCCAGTCAATGAGTGAAGTGAATCTGTGAATGACTGGTTTACCAGGGGAGTGGATGCAGATTTAACCTGGTATCTGAACACGGGGTGAATTCAGGGTGAAAACAGCTGGTGTTGTCTGTAAATAAGGACCGTAGTGGCTCACAATTCCAAGTGTCCTGTTTCAGCTTCACACTGTTGAGATTCTTTGAACGCCTCACAGTCCTGGTGGCATTGAAAGTCCAAGGAAACGTCACCTTTGACCTTTGGTGGCACTAAAATGTGATCAAACCCTACCCCAAAAAATTCTGGTTACACACTCATGAGCTTCAAAAGTTGTAAAGAAGTAATTGCATGAAAAGGTACAAAATATCTATGATTGAAAAATGGCTTGGACAGCTTTAAGCTACCTGATACAACTCTGAATTTAACGCTTCCATGTCAACCAAAGAAATCTGGCGTGCATATTCCAAGACCACCACTTTTGACAAAGTATGGGTGTAAGTATTGTGCTGCCATAGGACCTAATGGGAGTGATAAATGAACACAGAAAAATCTCCTCTGATCTAAAATCAATGTTCAGTGGACCAAAGCTCTGAACAAAAATGTCCAACCAGCAGCCAAAAGCTGCATAGCACAGAGTCGTGTTTGCTGTGCTGAAACAAATGGATTTCTTCTACTGTGGCAGGAAAGTTGTTTTTCATTGCTGTTTTTCCTTTTGTGTATCAAATGAAGAATTTACACCGTGCCTTATCACACATGTTTGTAGAAAAAGGAGAGGTTTCACCATAAAAGTGCAAAAGCATACAGTCAAGGTTATGTACAAGTTGTTTTTTAATCTCAAAATCAAGTGTACTCCTGTTTCTATTTCGCGTGATTCCTGCACAAAGAATGAGTGCTTAAAATTAGGGCCTCTGGGCTATGACAGAAGTAAGGCCAAACCCTCCTTCACAGGTAAGTGTTTGTACATGTACTCCTAATTCTTCTAAGTATTTTTGCAGGGAAATTTTCAGTGACAGTCACGAATGTAAGTCAAAATCAATCCCACTGCTATGCCAGTAATGCAATACTTTGAAGCCTACTAAACTGTGCATCATAATAAATATCAGAGAGGAAACCATGTAAAATCAGAACCATTTTTTTGGAATAAATAGGCAGATATTTGTGAAAACATCAACTATGTTAAAATCATATAAGGACTGTCTGGGTGGAGTATGTTCTGACTTGATCAACAACGGCTCAGCAAAATGAGCAAACATCTCCACATCGTCACCTTTCAATTCAAATGTTGCTTAATGTTTGCTTTTTTCCCTTACAAGCCCTTTCCGTTTTAAAACAGAGAAGATCTACATGTAAACCAAAAATGAAGAAACTTGGCCATGAAATCTGTTCAAAGTTTTGTGGGACTCAGACAACACTTAAAAAGAAACTGCAATTTGAATGTAAATATAGTAACAGACTAAATCAGCATGTTCTGTTTGTTTATAATAGACTATATATGTACCAACATTTAAGTGTAGGCCTCTAGTTTATCAGTTCACTCTGATAACTACTCAAAACCTGCTGAAGTTTAGTTTGGGAGTCAGTCTGAAATACCGTTTACTTTGCTGAGAACTCTGTGATATGTCCATAAAAGAATAAATGTTTATGCAGTCCAAACGCTTATTTTAAGGTTTGGTCAGTTTTATAAGCTGTAAAGATTTCATAAGTTGTCTTGCTGTACTGTGGTTTGACACGAGGAAGAAAGAAGGCATATATAATTTACATTCGTCAATATTTAGTGGTCTTCGTCTCGTAATGTTCATGATACACACTATGAATCATCTACTTTTCTGTTTCTCGTCATCTACGGTCTCCACACCGGCCACAGAACATCCACTTTCTGTCAGAGCGGAGCTGCATGCCTCGAATTCCCCCTTTATAGAGACCCCGCCCCGAAATCAGTCGATCAAATTCAACATCGCACTCGCCACACTCTGGCCAATCAGCGCGCAGAGGGGGAGGTCTCGAGACGGTGGTCCGGGAGGGCTATAGCCAATCAGAGCTCAAGTCGGTCGGACAAAGGGCTCGCGTCAACCATCGTTGGTCGTTTGAATGGCGCATTATTCATGTGCACGCTGCGCTTATTTAAGGAGACGCGATGAGGCGAGGTAGCGGAATTTCATATAAAAGGTAACGGAACTTCGGCATCTTCGACAGTCTGTCAGAGTTTGTCGTGAATAAAGCCGCGTATTACTGAAATGTATCGGTGTAATGTCTAAGAAACACTCATAAGCATTTCTCTGAGCACGTGCACCACCACACACTCGGTAAGCTCATTAGAAAGTGGCCAGGTGCATTACTACCACCGGCGCGTGCACGACTATGAGCATTCATTCATAATCCTGGCCGACTCTTTTGCGACATTGCAAACTCATTACTTCAAATAACCAACCTATCAATTACAAAATAACGACACTCGGAGTCGTGATATTTAACTACAATTAAGCAGCACACGAAATAGTGCATTACTATGAAAAAAGTGTGATATAAAAGTGAAGAATTACTCACTAAAAAAGTCAACATAATGTTTTGAACTGTGACATCAACCGTACAAGCAAAGTCCCCATCACCGCCTGTTTCTTTTACACACACCCACCGCCCATGCAGCCGCCCCAAAAACGCCGCTTTTCGCCTGACCGAGTTCATTAATGCGTAGAGGAAGAGGAGGAGGAGGTGGACTCAGCTCTTCTTCGATGTGCTGAGAGCTGCTGTTTCACTTCACCACCGCCTGCGAGCAGCCCAGTCACTGCTCCGTCTCTCTAGGTGTGACCTTTGGATCTCTCCTGAAAAGTGCCAACATTTTTGATACTCGTTTTTGTGTTGTATTTTTTTTACGCTAAGCCTCGCCGGGGAGAGCACTCCAGGTCGGTGAAACGAGAAGTTTAAATCCCCAGCTGCTTGCGCAAGGAGACGCCGGATCGCACACCTCCACACTGCTATATCTTTAGTGTATTTTCTTTGTGTGGTGGAGGTTATCGTCAACTTCAGTGAAGTTTTATCTGCCAAGAGAGGACACACATCCGCCCGGCATCATGACTCGGAGATCCTGTGCCATTTACGCCACCGGGATCGTGTGCGCTCACCTCCTGATTGTGGGGATCGCCCTGGTCGTAGCTCAAGTCTTCCAAACAATGATTCACAGCCGGCTAAAAAAGGTGAGTTTAAACCCTCCTGACATCGAAAAAACTGTGATTTCACCCACTTAACCTTCCGTCTGTCACACATGATGGGGTTTAACATTTCAGTACCTGCAGTGGTCAATCACCGCATTCAGCATCTTTCTGATTCGTGGTCACAAGATCTCCCAGGGTGTGTTAAATTGTCTCAGTTTTACAGTGGGCTTTATTACGTTTTACTGCATTCTGCATCTTCAGTTCAACGTGATGGACCAAAGCCTTTCCCTTCATGAATCCGCATGATCCGAGGTTGTGTAGCGTGTAAGTCCCATTACTGTGCAGCTTCAGGGGTCTTGTTCCAGCTTGCTTTAAAGACAGGCGTGGAGATTTGAAGCCTTTCACGAAGACCTAACAAACGCTTTCCTGTAGACAGAAACCCCCTAAGAGTCCTGCACAGGAGAAACAATAAATGTGTGATTTGCAGAGGTGAGTTCATGATGACCTTACCCCTTTTTTTAATGACACTTCAATCTCCTTTAAGACTGAGCTCTGTGGTGTTTAAGGAAATGTTCTGACCTGTTTATACATTATAAAGTTTAAGGTCTAAAAGGACTCGGGTAAATGAAGGATGGGCATGATCCCTCTCTGGTCTAGTGCTTTTGGATCCTCTTGATCATCTGTGCAGCACTGTGCGCATGACCCGGTGACACATTTCTGTGTCAAGGCTCGATATACTGACTCCTTGATGTGTTTGGTATTCTGAGGAGGGTCAGTGGTAGTATAGTAGAAATCTCAGCCAGCAGGGATACAGTGGGTAAAGGGGGGAGGTGTCCAGCCAGGTCTTGAGCTATGGGGGAAGGGTGAGTGGACAGGACAGTCCCTGACTTTCCACGAGTGGAAATCTTGCAAGTTTTGTACAGAAAGCTGAGTGGCAGCCCTGGGTCAGCCGGGGGGATCTGCGCTGCTCGGGTTGACGTCCTTGTTTTGGCTGCAAACTGTGATGAAGTGGATAGAAAGCGCAAAGAAATACCCAAATATGCTGGCTGTATGTTAACCAGATCCACTCCAGAACTTGCCTATTTTAGGACCTGCATCACTGGTTGATATGAAGTCTTAAGTGATCCAAAAATCAACAAATTCTGATCAGAGAAGTTCAAACTTCCTCCTTCATTTGAAAGCTTTGCTCCTGTCATATCAGCATGAAAATGTACACAGAAACAACCACCAGCTCATCACCAGCTTCATTTGTAGTAACTGGCAGAGCATTTATGGTTAGTCAAGCTGGATTAAGTTTTGGCTTGTTAATGCAGTTTGAGACATGTATGAGTGATGGGGTGGTGGCCCAGTGGGGTGGGTCAGAGTGGAGTGGAGTGGGGGTGTTGGCAGCTGACATCCTATCCCCACCCTGCCCTCCCACGGCTGCCCTCTTCCCTTTAAAATACCTCACATTCCTCTTTTGGACATGAATCAGTGTGTTGGATGTTCTCTGCAACTCATTATCTGTTCTTTTAAATCTGTCTGCTTCCTCTCAAAGTCATCCCACACACACACTCACACACTTCTTAAGAAGATGGGAAAAAAAAAAGTAAAGAGCAGCAAAACACGCTATTTGTCCTGGCAAACGGTCTCCTGGCTGACATGGTTTCCCCCTCCTGGAGTTAAATTTAGGCCTGGGTCTCATTTGTGTCTCATTCTGAATCACTGCAGCGTCCCAGGGGATCCAAATTAAAAGAGTTAGCCAAAAGTTCACCAACAGGGGACATAATTCTGATGAGGATGGCGATTACATGAAATGACAGCACAGCTAATCCTCTTCCGTCATGGTCCTCCCGTTGAATTAGGCAGGCACGGACATGCTGAGCCCCTCCAAAAGAAATCTACCTAATCTGATGTTTGAATGCATCTCTCTCTGTGATAATAATGCAGCCCGGTTTGTTTTGGGGAAAAGTCAGAGCTGCCTCCAGGACGCAGACTCTGAATGTTTTGTGAGCTGGGTGTGGAGGTAAGCAGCGGCGTTAGAGCCACGCAAGGAATTTGACAGAGTTCTCGGCCTCCAGGGTATGATTTTCAGCCTGGGAGCAGAGTCGCAAGGTTTTGTTGTTGTTCCTGCCTCGGCCTATCCCGACCAAGAAACCTGACTGAAGACAAACACCCACACTTATGCCACTCCTCTCAGTCCATTTCAAGGCGGTACGAGTGATTGAGCTGGAAGCACTCAAGAACAAGGCCACACTGGTGCAGCATAGTGTGTTTTTTTTCCCTCTAAAAGTGTCATTGACGCTCACTGCCTGTGCAAAACTTCAACACAGGAGGCATTTATGAAAACACATCGACAACTTTCTTGTATTTTTAATTATGAAGTTTCCATCTTTTGCCATTTTCCACAAATGCGGATCAAAGCAGGATCTTGTCTCAACACACCTAAGCTGTGCCTGAAGTTGTTTGGCTAAGGCACAGCGCTCATTGCCCCAGTTGTTTGGATTACTAGTCCTTCAAAACCCTCCAGCTCTTTCCATGAGCGAATGAAAAACACTGTATTTTGATTACACCGACTACCAACTTCACTTTGTCCCTCACTTGTCTTTTTATTTGTGACGGATCAAGGCTTTTTTGGGAGATAAATGATGTTTAAATAACTTCCCTGAAGGCTTTTCCACAGACCTTTGCTCAAGGTTGGCAAACACGGAGATTTCAATGCTGTGTACGCAGTTATTTCAAAAGTGACACAGTTTGCATTTTGTTTAAAAAGGGGGGACAAACTGGGTCACTCCTGCTGGTTTGACATGGAGGCCTCTAGTGCGCTGACTGCTCATGAATGTCACAAGCCTCTGTTGCGTTACCTGGTTTCCCTGATTTTTTTAATTAGAGAAGAAGTCTCGGGAGAATCTCTCTTTTTAAACACTTCAAGGTCCTTTTCAGAGTTTGATAGCAGATACACAGTTTTGACGTCAACCTCAGCTGATTATTCAATCCTTTAACACACTTGTGATAATTAGAGAGAAAAAAGACATGACTGGTACAAAGCCACAGACAGTAGACAGATATTATAAGGCTGCCATCTTGTGACATCTTTATCAGCATATTGATAATTTTCCTCATTGTATATCTTTTTTTTGCTGAGTAAGCACTTATTTTCAAGTCAAATCATCTCTTAAAAATGACCTGGCGAGGGATGCAAAAGTTTAGCCCACTAGGGAATTAAACCGAATCACTTTCTCTCGTCAGCGCCAGAATCACTAGCTTTATTTTTGTTACTGTCGGCCTAAAATGTCGATCATATGTTGAATCTGAGCTGTGGCTCCAGCACTGCTAGGATGCTTTATAACGGAAACTTACTTAAAGCAAAATGCAGATAGAGCTGTGTATCTGCTTTGTCTGGTGAAACTGAATGTAGCAAATATGTAACCACCGCAGGCAGGTGAACATTAACCTGCAAGGAGGACTTAAGGCTGGTGGTTCTAGCTCTGCAAGTGTTAGACTTTGTAATTCCAGGTCTAACCTTGTCACAGAAACGGTGAGTGTTTTCTTACCTCTGACAGAGTTTAAAGTTCAGTTTATACAACCAGGAAATCACTTCAAACATCCCATATATTGGCTTCATAACTGAAAGCAGTATCACAAAAATCCTGAGTTGGTTTTCTAGTTCTCCTAAAGCTAGATTAACTACTTGAAATAAATTAGTAAATCTTCTCATATTTACCAATGAAAGTATTTGCTTCTTCTTTCTTAAATTGCTAAAAGAGTATGTCGTTTTTGGCGTTCTTGCCTGTGTTGATCAGAATGATAAAAAGCTGCTCCTATTGCTCAATCCATCCCCTGACTGAACATAACAAACATGTTTTTGGAAACATGACAAGCACTCTTCTTAAAAATATTCCCTGTTTCACAGACCAAACTATTTAAGTGTTGAGGACAGTCATTGTAATTTGCATCCTCTGACCGCATGAACATGTTTTTTCTATTACTGTGATAAAAAAAAAAAGTCTAATTCGTAAACACAATCTTAACTTGATCATCTGTCCTGACTGCAGAGCATCAAAGCTGTGATTTGGATCAAACACAGGTCTGTGTAAAGCTGGAAAGGAAGAAATCATTCAAGAGAAACCAGGCAAACAATTCTATGCAGAAAAAACATGTTTGAGGGTCGGATGTTGCAACCCAAACAGGAAGCGTCAGCCACACCCTAAGCTATATTTTCTCAACAACAAGTCACTGCAGAAGACAATGTATGGCCTCTGTGAAGTGCACCTCACTGTACTCAGGGGACGGAGAGGGTTTTCAGGAACTCAGCATGAACAAGACAGAAAGGGAAGAGGGTCCTTTCTGCCGTCCAAACATTAAAAATACACCTCAGGAAAGGAAAAGGCTTATTTATCGTCCTGGATCTCAAACACCTTTAGAAAAACATAGTTTTCTTGTACAGATTAATGCTGCAGTTAAAGGTTAATGCAGCTTGTGTTCAGACATGCTGCAGCCAGAGTCACTTACATCACACATGGCTACTTAGCTTTGACTTCAACTGTAAGGCTTGTTTTTCTCAAAATGAACACAGTGAAAGCACCACTACGTCAGTTTCTGCGGCTGCCCTGAGCAGCTTAGTGTGAACTTAAAAAAACCACCTGTGTTTTGATCGCCGTGTCTCTTACTGCAACACCTCTCTGGATCATGAAGGCTGACTAGTCGCCCTCAATCAGATCCTTGTCTTGGTATGCTGAGGTCAGAGGCAGGGCGCAGAAGATTTTCTGCCTGTCCTGACAGTTTTTTTAAGCCATGAAGGACTTTTCTCTGCTTCCTTCTGGGTTTTGGGGGTCTTGGCGTGGCACCAGCTTCTCGCAGAAAAGTGCCATGTGTGCACTCAGATGGCCCTCATTCACACAAAGCAAACAGCTTTGAAAAATGCTCCAATTTGAATAGAACAGCATCGCATCTTGAGTGTGAGATTACAGCTTTTGAAACTTATTAGTAACTTTGACCTAAAGTGCTCTTTTTCTGCTGTTTCCTCAGTCTGACTCTGTATTCTCTTCTTTTGTTTCATAGGAAATAACTTTGACGGAGAAGAGCCAAATGTTCGAGGGGTGGAAGAACCCACCTCCACCTGTTTACATGGAGTATTACTTCTTCAATGTTACCAATGTGGAGGTGTTCTTGGCAGGCGGGAAAGCAGTTGTTAAACAGATCGGACCCTATACTTACAGGTAGGCGCGAATAAAGATCCAGAAAGTGTGTTTGAGCAGCGCTGCAGCTGCAGATGGAAAAAGAAACTTGTGATCATTGTAGCTGTGTTGGGAATAGTCGAGGATAATTCTTTTAGTGCAGTTTGAAAACAAAACACGTCGACATCTGGACTGACTGGCTGATGCTCTTTTTCCACATCAGGGAATACAGGCCGCGGGAAAACGTCACATTCCTGGAGAACGGCACCAAGGTTTACGCCCTGAACCCCAAAACTTTTGTGTTTGTTCCTGAGAAGTCGGCTGGTGATCCAGAGGTTGACATCCTCAGGACAGTCAACATCCCATATGTGGTAAGTGATGGCGTCTGTGCAGGATAATGTGTGTTATTACGACCTGCAGCTGCCCGTTAATCATGTCCTCAGGTTTGAGCTGGAGTCACATGATTGGCATGTGTGTTCCTCATTTTCTCTCCCACACGTTATTATTTCCCCCACACACTCCAGACCATTGTCTTCTTTGTGTGTCCAAGATACAAAAATGTCACAACACAGCTAACGACAGGGATTTCAGGCCAATCCAAACAAGCCGAGTGAACCTAAATAACACAAAAGAACATTTTCAAACAGGAATTCATTTGTGTGTATGATGAGAAACAGGCTCTCCATTGTCTGATTTTTTTCCCTCTCCTTCTGTTTCGTCTTCAGGCGGTGATGAATGAGCTGGACTCTTACTCCTTCTTCCTGAAAACGCTGGTCTCCATGTACATGAACGGCCTGGGCATTGAGCTGTTCATGACCCGCACTGTCCACGAGGTGCTGTGGGGCTTTAAGGACCCTCTCCTTTCCAAGATCCACTCCATGAAGCCTGAAGTAGACGAGTATTTTGGGCTGATGTGGAAGGTAAAATAAACGAACTCTTCTCAGTGTCCCTCAGATCTGTTTCTAAACCTAAGCTTGATGGTATTCTGGCACCAAAATCCGAAGAAAGCTCCTGTGCGCAGGTTGTCAGGGGTTACCAAACAACAGGCGTGTGTGAGCGTGAGATAACGTCATGTAAGAGAAGTGAGATTAGCCACATGCTGACAGAAGATGCTTGTACTTCCTGTTTATAGAGCAACGTCTGCATCTTGGCATAGGCGACAAAAACCAGTCTTGTGATCCTGAGGGCAGCAGTTTAAGTTTGAAAAATAGAGTTTTAAGTGAGTTCATGTTTTAAAAAAATTGACGATCCGATTTTCTTTTCTATCGGCAAAATTGACCTCTGCTTTTAAAACGTGAGTGTTGGAGCCTTTTCGAGAAGACGTGATATGAAACACTAGCGAATCAGTGGATTGAAGAAAGAAGTAATCAGGTTTTTTAGGCTATTTTGTAACATTTTATTTTGATAATTTACCAGAATTCGAGACAAAAGTTGACGCAAAAGCAAACGCCTGCTCATTGTAATTCCAAAAACAGTTACGTTTTGGTCCCACACCTTCATCAACAGCCCTTGTTTTCTAGTAACAAAATGTTGCTTATCGACACCATTTTGATGGTTAGACGTGAAGTAAATTTGCTTGTAACTTTTGGTGGCCTCACTCCTCTCCTGTGCAGCTGTTCTCTGAAAGAGACGTGAAATATTTCACGTCTTTTGAGATAAAGAAAACCAATTCTTGTCACCTTGAATGCAAAGAAAGCCCTTTAAAATATTCATGTAGTTTGATTTGAAACTGAAAAACACAAGTTTTCATTTTGTGCTCTTTAATGAAATACCAGCGGCTCACTGTGTATCAGAGTCATATGAAAATGCATTAAGAGGCATGAAAATGACGAACACAAAGCAGCATTTCTCTCATATTTCCCATGATCCTTGAATATGAACACTGTCTCTGATTCCACACTCTACCCTTCACAGTTGTGTCACAGCAGCTCTGTCTGAGCCTCGTGTCATTTCTTTTTCCCTTTTTTGCAGAAAAATGGCACCCATGAAGGAGAGTTTGTGTTCCACACAGGCGAGGAGAACTACTTGGATTACGGAAAGATCGACACGTGGAATGGCCTGAGGTAGAGACTCATGCGAATATCAGGCAGCTTTAAGTATCTGTGACCAAAATGAGGTTTTAGTCCTTTTTCCTGCTTTCCTCATTGATAGCAAACGCTTGTCAGCGTTCACAGAGCTCCCCCTTATCATGATATGCACATTTACCTCCTTACACAACCTGTAGCGGAGAGTCCAGAGAGGAAGCCTTTGCTCCCTGGTTTTAGTAAGCACACAGTTGCAGAATCAGTGTTTTGACATCCAGAGCGACTTTGAGCTTTGAATGAACTCAGCCTGCGTCGGTAGAAACCAGATTTTCAGATTTTGTCTTTTCTCTGAAGTTTGATCAGGACAAAAGTACTTGTCTGGGAGTGAAATCGATATTTTGTACTTTGGACTGAAAGAGTGATTGAGTAAGAGGAAACTTAATCTGCAACTGTCAAATTACACAGTTGTCAGAACTTTTTGGTAAATGTTCACTGATTTCCAACTTCTCAAATGGGATTATTAAAAGTTTTGCCTGTTCCTACTGTATCGTTCGATAGATCTACGTTGATTTTGAAACCGTCAAAAAAGACTTTGAGAAACTTTCTGAGAGTTGCTTTCTTGACTGGCAACAACCATATTTAAAATAGTCACGAGGGGTTTGACTTGGAATACTTTTTTCTTTATACCAGTGAAGACGTAAAACTCTTGTTCCATCCTAATCTTTCAATCTTCTTATTGACCAACAGGGAGATGTCTTGGTGGTCCTCCAACCAGAGCAACATGATTAACGGTACAGACGGAGCAGTTTTCCACCCTCTCATAAACAGGAACGAGCTGCTCTACATCTTCGCTGCTGATCTCTGCAGGTATGCACGTGCTGCTGAACGTTTGTTTATAGTCAAAGCACCCCGGCAGGGCAGGGCGGGGACCAAGACCTGCACTGAGGTCTGAATGAAGAAACTGTCAGCTTAGTCAGACTCGATGAGCACACAAATCTGCTGATAAAGAGTAGGAGATTGGGGCAATTACAACCCCTGATAAGGCTGTGGTAAAGAAAAAACACACGTGCAAAAGGAAAGAGCGCACAATTGGACACACCTGGTCCGCTCTGAGGAGTTATTATACTTGGGAGTGGTGTCAAATATTAACTACGAAGGGCCAAACTGTTGTATGAAAAAGAAAAACATCAGTCTCATCCTCCTCTGCGCTTCATTCAGACTTCTTGACGCTGAATTTAACTTTTTGATCCCCTAAATGTGACATCAAGCTTGCTTTTCTCTCCTCAGGTCCATCCACTTGGCCTATGTGGAAGACGTGGAGGTGAAAGGCATTCAGGCGTACCGCTTCGCCCCTCCCAGTGACGTCCTCATGAGCCCCAAAGACAACCCCACTAACGAGGGCTTCTGTGTCCCAGCCGGAGACTGCCTTGGCACCGGAGTGCTCAAAGTCAGCGTTTGTCGCGAAGGTAAGGGAGCCCTGACCCAGTTACTCAACACAACCCATCCCTCCCAACTGGCCCCATGACACAGTTTCCTCCACTCCCCGCCTCTCCCAATTTCTACCCCCAAAAAATGTCCTTTCAATCAGACACCGCGTCCCCCGCCTGCTATCGGACATTCCCTCTGTTTGAGCATGCCAGATTTTTACTCAAGCACGGTTCAATGATTAACTGTGCTGACTGTGTGGAGGCTGTTGGAGTGTTTTATGGCGGTCATTGAGTGGAGTGTGATTGCTCTGATAAGGCTATCTACTCTGACTCCGACACAAGAGGACAGTGTCATATCACCAGCAGATCTGCTACTGTAACCACACCACTCTGTTTATTTTATAATTACATGATTAGTTTGAAATCATTTTATGTAATTAATGATTTTTTTGTGATTCGCCTTCAAAGCAAAGAATCCTGATGGCAGAAAACACTGAAGGGAACTGTCAAAACCCGAGTCTAATCATTTCACAAGGTTTCTGCTGTTCTTGCGCTGCCAAATCCTGATTGGCTCTCTACATCAGGCCCTCTGACTCATATGAAGCAAAAACGCCTGATTGGCTGAATTTTTGTGATGCTTTAGCGAGAGCCAATCAAAACAGAGTCCTGTTGTCACATGCTAGGTGGTGTCATTCTGAAAGCCCCTACTCAGACAGAGCTCTGAGCACAAGAGACAAATATTCAAAGTTGTTTAAAGCCCCCAGAAAATTGTGGTTTGACAGTTGTACTATTTTGCAGGAAATTCAAAACACAGATGTACTTTAATGTGACTGATGATGAGCAATTTCCTCTTTCCACTTTGAGTTTCAACAAACGCAGCTGTATTTCTGATGTCATTTTTAATGCCAGAAACCAGTGAGAGGGTGTAGGTGTCAGCTGAGCAGTTTCCATATGAAATATTCATGATAAATGGTACATTTAGCTGTCAAAAACCAGCAGGATGAGATTTTTTGTCAGTAGACACGACTTAAGCATGTAGAGGACAAGATGAGCAAAGACTGCTCTGTTCAGAGTGCGCCAAAGTCGGCACAAACTGAAAGTTCCTCCGGGGCTTCAAAGGAGAGAGTAATCTAAAAGACAGCTGCTCTCATTTATTTATCATCTCGACTTAGAGTTTTGATCTGTTTAGTGTCTGCTGTGCTCTGTCAGCTAATCATTGTTTAGGTTGAAAACCTCAAACAGATTCTGCAGTTATCCTCTTCACACTATCAGCTGCAGATTTACCTGTATATGCACTGGTATCTCTCAAGGACTGAACAGCCCCTCTAATCTTATCTCATGTTTTGTCTTAAGGCCTCCTTGTTTAAACAGAGTTATCTCAGGAAGTGAACAATAACTGACACATGTGTATCCTTCTTGTTCTCCGTCCAGGCGCTCCCATCGTCGTGTCTTTCCCCCACTTTTATCAAGCGGACCCAAAGTACATTAACGCTGTGGAGGGACTCAGCCCCAACAAGGAAGAGCACGAGACATACCTGGACCTGCAACCGGTAGGAATGACTCTGTTATGAGCCCATCAGATTAGATAAGCTGAACTTTGATTCTTTAGTTCACGACCATGCTTATCTAAATGAGAGAAATTGTTGTGATTCATATAAATAGCTCTGCTTGTGTTTGCACTGAGATTAAGAGAGTGAAGAGACTATGCCTTAAAAATGGCTGAAAAGACGAGAACACGATTAAACAGTGCAGTTATAACAGTATTGATAGGATAATAAATAGTATATTCATTGAAAACCTCCCATGGAGAGTCTTGAATTTGTTGTTAAACAGACCAAAACTGACACTGATGCCTGAAAAGAAAATCAGGGACAAGACTAGTTTTTTTTAGGTCTGATGCTGCTATAAGGGGGCAGGTGCCAGACTTGACACAGACTTGATAGAACAAATGAAGTCCCCACTTCATCTCAATTATCAATCCAGCCTCATGTGCTGTTCAGAACGAGAGTTTTAGTACAACACGTGGGAATCACAGAAAGGAGTTTCTGACCTGCGCTGAAATTCACGGAGACCTCTCTGGGGTTTTTTGTTTTCAGACCACAGGTGTTCCCATTCGGGCCTGCAAGAGAGCTCAGCTCAATATCATCCTGAAGAGGGTCCAAGGCTTCCCGTAAGTTGAACTTCGTCGAACCCTGACCTAATTTTGTGTTATCGCAACAACCCAATTTGCGCCACATGTTGAGCCAGATGTCCTCCCTGACCCCCTCTCTCTGTCCCTCTCCCTCCTCCCCGCAGAAAAACCAAGTTCATCAATGAGACCATTTTCCCAATCATGTTCGTCAACGAGGTGAGAGTCTCATCCGGTGCAACCTGGGATCAAACAGGGTCCCATGACCGTAGGTGAACCACAGATCGATAATCACCTCCCTCTCTCTCTCTCTCTCTCTCTCTCTCTCTGGCTTTCTCAGACGGCGACCATCGATGATGAGTCAGCATCCCAGATGAGGACGATGCTTCTTATCGTCACTCTCGTGTCGAACTTCCCATTGCTCATCGTGGGCATGGGCATCATCCTGCTGCTGGTGCTCGTCATCTTGTTCTGCAGAAACCGGCAGAGGACGGTAGGTTCCGCTCCTGTCATGTGGACTGAGCTGTCGTATTAATCCACACAGCAAACCCAGTGTGAAGTGTGTGTGTGCTACCCACTGACACAAGTCAACCAGAGCCAGACTTAGATGGTAGTAATGTGTCACAGTAAATGCTGCAGGGTTTGTGCATGTTTTAACACTATGTGCACGTTAACTAACCCGTCGCATGTTTCCTGCAGAGCAACGCCAGCATGAGCAGTTTCCATGAATCTGGATCAAATGCCGTCTTTGTGTTTTTTCCCTTTTGTGAATGTTCACTAACAGTCGACTCCGCTTTGATGAGTCGATGGATCTTTGGATTGAGGAAGAAAGCATTTTTAGTTCCTTTTTTTAAGAATAGCTCTGTGCTGAGTGGCAAAGTGCACTGAACTAGAGTAGTCCTGAGATTGATGTACAGCATGTTGACCTCTTATCTCCAGCAGAGCAAGGTTGTCGACCTCACATCCTGCACTCGGAGAGAACCTCAGATTATCCTAGCCTAGGTTACCCACTGTATGAAGAGTTGTTGGCAGCATGTGAAAGGAAAAATTCAATATTTTGGGAAATATCTGTTTTCTTTCCTCTGAATTTACACAAGAAAAATGAGGCACCTATGAAGTATGTGCCCTAAAGGAAAGAATTAGATGAAAACGGAGCCTCTCTCGTTTATTCCCTCAAATACCAGCATCAAAATGTGTTGGCACATTTTAAATGTTACATTATGTGCTAATCGGAGAGCTCTGCAGGTGCCAGCTTTTGGATTTAGTTACCTTTAGACCAGAGGCAGGTTGACTCTTTTCAGCCTTTCTCTTGAGCGAACAAGACAAGAGAAAATCCTTCAACAGGCAGAAAGAAAGAAAATTAATTAAAGAATATATATCATTGTGGTCAAACACAGTGACACATATTTCCCAAAACTTGAATCCTTCCTTTGAAAGCCACACATGAAGGAAAGTTTGGAGATTAAAATGTTTGAAACATGATTAATTGCAATGTGAAAAGATGTTGTATTAACCATGTTCTAATTTTAATTTTCTGTAACCCCCCCTTTTTTTCCTTTTCTGTTTTAGATCGAAGTAAAACATATTGATTTTACTGAAGCTTTTCATTCTTTTACTGTAAGTCTTAACTTTTGCCTTGTTTGCTATTCTCTTTTTTAATTTGTTATCCATCATCTCTGTTTATTATCATTATTTAATTATCTTTGGGACATGATACTCCCCTTTAAGTTCTCGCCTCACAGTGTTTATGTTTAATTTTGAAGCTATCATTTCTGTGGTGCTTGTTTTTGTGGTTAATTGGTGGTTTAGTAGGTCACTGCGGTTTACTGTGAACATTTCAGCCAAAACATTAACTTCATTTAAATGTTGTGATCAATGTCAAATAATCTGATGTCCCACCACTTCATTGGATTCAACTGATGTCTCCTGTTCTCCCTCGTTCAGACGGTGAAAGACGAGACGGCCTACACTCAGGTCAGCAGCAAACCTGACGAGCCGTCAGAAACACCCGCCAACCAGCCGATGAAGAACGGCTCGTACATCGCCATGTCTCCAGTGGAGGCCCAGAAGTGTTGATCAAGGATCCTCCTCCCAGAGTGTGGAGCTCAGGAAGGGGGCTGGGGGAGCAGCACATGGGTGTTACATTACCACGGGTGGGGGGTTTGGATACACGGTGGGTTTGGGTTAGGACAGGGGGAGGGTTGGGACACAAGCCCCCAGTAAAGGTTTAGTCAACAAAGACATTGCTCCGCTCACTGAGCCCTCTGATGACTGTCTGCCCTCCTCCTACTCTACCTGCTGAGCATGGCCCTCACTGCCTGCCGTACTGCAACACAACCCACACTCACTGACACACACTTTCCGTCCCGGCCGACCCTGCAGAAGAAGGGACTCTGGGTGGGCTCGGCCGGGACACGCCTTTTCTTCCCATGATCCTCCAGAGGGAACACAGTAGCAGCATAGACGTCGCTGTCGTGCGTTGCGGATGCATGAAATTAAACGTGTTTGTAGTTTCCACCTGAACAGCAGATGGTGGTGTTCCCATCATAGTCCCACCTTCATTGGTCTTCAGTGAGGGGATAACAAGCCAATAGAAAAAAAATTAAAATGAATCCTCTATTTGGACACAACTCCGAGCTCCGGCACAGATCCCTTTGTTTAAAAACTGAGCCAAACTATTTTTGCCTTTTTCCCCGTGAAGACGTAGTGAAACCACACAAACACACTAACCGCACTTCCAGTATGAGTTAGTGTGTGTGCACCTTTAATAACACTTCCCTGTCCAGTTTTGATGGACAGCTCTGTTTTCCCTGATGCAGACACAGTGTATTCTGAACTGTAACATCCCCCTTCTCTCTTGTTTTGGTCAGGTTTACCTGATTTTTTTCTGAAACACTAGTTTAAAAAATGGAAAATATCTGGGAGCTCAGCCACTTTTTAAGTCTTGGGGTGGTATCTGAGTTAAAAGTAAGAGGTTAAAGATGCACCTTTTTGTAGGCTTTGTCACACTTTCAAAACAAAAAGGAAAAAAAAAAAAGAAAAACACCCACAAGAACTTACAAGGGAGACTTGAACCTGCTTTCTGCCTTACAACGGTTCACCTTCTTTACGTTCATTCATAGTTCGAATAAGCTGGAAAATCTCTTCTGTTATTGTACATATGTAAAGGGGAAATGTCGAGATACCTCTGACCAAAATCCAGCGAGCAGTCCTTCTAGATGTGCTGAAAGACACTAACGTGGCTCCTGCACGTCTACACTGTTACCTATTAGAGAAAGCACAATTGGGATTGTTGAAACCAGTCCTCACACAAGGCGACCGTTTTCTTTGTCCTGTTGTTATACATATATTTACAGCTGATCAGTCAGAGACACTGTCAGGTGCCGTGACGATTAAAAAAAAAGTGGAATCATTGGGGTTTTTGAGGGAGCCTTGTGTGCACCACTTGCCGCTGTGCAGTCATTCAGTTTGCCAAGGAGCTGTATGCATTCAGGCAAACAGAAAAAAAACGCAGCACACAGCACTTGAATCACTGTTTGTCTTATGTTTCATGTTGTGTTTTCTTCTCTCTGTCCTTCACATGTCCAAAAATAAGAAAAAAAAAACATGTTAGTTTGAATGGGAAGTGAATTTAAGGCCATAATACTGTCAACACAGAGAATTCCCTGCACTTTGCCTGGAAAATTGTGCCCTGTTTGTTTGATTGTTTGTTTTTGTCTTTGTCATTTCAATGCAGGTGGTCCATATATTCAGTACATTTCAGTAGTTTGTCCTCACTAGTATTGGTAATGACGGGTGTTGTTGTAAAGGAAACGGCACATCCGGCTCTGTGTTACTTGCTTTCGGCACACGGAGTGTCTTCTTTTTGATATACTTTTGTATTTGTTATTGCTGCTAAAAAAACAAACAAAATGCCATAACATACTGGACTTGTATTAACATATTGGATATGAACCATAATGTGCTCTCGTTCAGGTTGATCCACAGAGTCTTCAATCTCAAAGGATTAAACCAGTATTTTTTTGACACCCGAGCACAAGGATACAAAGCCCAAAGCTTGCTGCCATCTCTTGGAATTAGCAGTTAGTTATCACATTGAACCACTCATTCCTGTACTAGCAGATGATCTGACCATATCACATGTATCGTTGGGGTTTATTGTAGGATTAGTAACCTTTTCCAGATCGCTTAAGGGGCACAAAAAAGGCGAGCCACCTCAGCTCGGTGTCAGAAGTCAGCGACTGTGGGATTATTAACACTGTGGTGGAAGTTTCTTTGAAAGTATTCCTTTAAATCAATTCACTAAAGGCCTTTTTATTCCAATGTTTGCACAAGCAGCCACCGCTTTGTGCAAACTTGTAGTTCATCATTATCCACCATTTAAAACTTGAACCTGAGACCTTAATCCCCAGAGTTATGCGTGTGTGTATGTAGTGTCTGTTCAAACACACACCTGAGTCATCTGTCTGACTTCTACACCTCCGACCTTTGAGTCTCCATCTATCGAACCTGTTGGCTCGCCCCTGCTTGACCAAAGATAACCCACATAGATCCACCCCCAGCACCATGTTTACTCTCCTCTGCGGTAACAGCTGTGCCACAAAACCACCACCTACCTTTTTTTCATTTTAAACGTGCCACCAATTACGTGAAGTATTCGCAGCAGTGTTGTGTGAGCGTGAACAGAAATGTGTGCGTGTATGTGCCTTTTTACACCAAGGCAAGAAAAAACATTTCAAAGATGGTTGTTTGAGGAGTATTGCTTTTTCTGTCACTTGATGCAAGAGCAAACTAAAGTAATCAACGCTCTTTGTGAGCAGATCTCAGTATTATGTAAGGCAAAGCAATACAGATTTGTGTAAAATTTTTTATTAAGGGGCCACACAATATTTATGTTTTTCCTGATTTGTTTTTGTTTTTTTAGTTTCTTTGTGTAGAAGTATTTCCTTTTATTTCTTTCAGTGATTTAGTTGTTTTTTTTTAAACAATATTCAGCACATTTCATTTGATCATTTCAAAGTGCAAATACAAAAAAGTGTAAAGCTGGTCCAGTCTTTCACACTGGGAGCTGTTTGGGCCCTGTAAATGTTTGGGAAGAGTGTACATGAATGGTTTGAGGTTGTTTGTGATGGATAAATATGAGAACTTGTGTGAGTTAAAGTTGTGTTTGTGGAGAAATGCACCATTTGATGGAACTGGAGTGATTCTTACAGGAAGGCTGATTATCTTGATGACTGAGCAGAGAAAAGCATTAATGCTGTGTAACCTATCTAGATGAATGAAGCCCTCCTTCAGGGATGAGCACTTGTGCCATACCATCCTTTCTATGTTATTTCCCCCCATTCTTGTTCCTTCTTTTTTTTTTTTTTTTTTGCTCTTTGGTTTGACAACCATATCTCTCTGTTTCGATGTTCTGCAGCCACTAACAGACGTTTCTCCCTGATATTCTCGTTTGTTTTGCTGCTGAAAATGACAATCCTGCTTGTCATGTTAGGTGCAAAATGAATTCAAAGTAATATCCATTTTTAGTTTTGATAATTTACACTGCACAAATGTTTCTACAGTGCTTTTGTAAACATTTCTAGTGTATTTGCAAAAAAATAAAAGTTGCAGTAAAAGTGCAAAGTAAACAGTTGTCTGTTGTCGTCTGTGAAAAGGCTCAGAAAACGAAGTATCAGTTAATAAACTGCGAAAGTCTAGGATGGTTTCTGAACAAACTGACATTCATAGTCACCATATACGCAAAGCAATCAAAAAGTAAGGAAAATTTGCAATATCGTAGAAACAGTGTGCAAAGTATAACTTAAAGCTCCCGTTGGGAAATTTTGAGTTGTTGTGGCGCACTCATATTGTCCTCTACATTTGTCATCTGACAAAATTAGGCCCTGTCCATAAGGAAATGAATACAGGAATAAACAACACAAACAAGTTTTTTTGTCGTATCGGCGTTTCATCCATATGAAAACAGCATTTGGGTCCCAGAGTGCATGAATCCATATGCAAGCACTGTTTTTGTTTCTGATACATGCCCCAAAACAATCCAAAATATCAAACAGCCAAACATAGTTTGGGTTGGAATATGGGGTGGCCAGTCAAGTTTTAAGGGGCACCATGCCACCCATAGACGTCAGTCTGGACACACCCCTGCATATACTATAAACTATCCTTGAACTGACCCAGAATCCCCACCCACATACACCCTCCCTCCCAAAAGAAAAACAACACCTGAAAAGATAAAATCTATGGGAAAGATGATTATCCAACACGAAGAGCTAAACCATGACTCAAAGATTAACCTTTGACTGCATCAACAAAATGCATGAACACAAAATCCCTGTCGAAACACAGCAGCCCTCATCACAAAAACCTCTGAGCACTAACGCCATGCTCTGTTCTCTACATGCCTTTTTGAGGAATCACCTGGATGCAGCTGAAAAGAAGAGACCAGAAAAGAGAAAACATCAAAGCTGAAAAAGATATTGTTGGGTTTTTTATTCCTTTTCAAAAAGCTCATCTATTCACAGAGGAAACAGGTTTTTCTTCATGGTCTGGCACCCTACACCTCCAGGCAAAAAGTCCAGTCCAGATGTACAAAACATCCAGTTAGTCTGACATCACTTTTTGGCTTTTCACATTTTACAGTTTAAGCAATAGTTGGCATTACATTGGAGATGCTGACTCAACATCACTTTTAATCCACCTACATTTAGGGGAAAGGGGTGGAGCTGAGGTGGGATTTTAACTTTCTGGTAAATAACACCCATCTGCCCTTTAACTTAACTGTGTCTCCATTCATGCGACTTTCTGTTTCACTCTCAGGCTTGATGAAGTATACAGAGGGGTCATGTAAAAATGGGAGTTTTTAAAACAGGAACTGAAGGGGATTCGGACACTAGAACTACAGTTCTTTTTAATATCAGTATTGGTTTGCTGCCTAGGAAAAAGCATAGACTGGCCTCAGGGAAGTCCATTATTACATTTTTTTGCAGCCACTAAAGGTTTCCCTTCTTGCTTGGTAGAGGAGGTGTGGTTGTCCTGCTACTTCAGTCACTCGATTCCACAGTCTAATAAAAAAATAAGGCTAAAGTCTTTGTTGCAGCAGTTGCTCTCTCCTGTTTCTGTCCCATCTGATAAACTGAAAATCTGACTTTAAATTTTTAAGTTTTTGTTTGAATCTATTCCTGAACACTCCTCTAACTCTGAGTCATATACAGTCCAAACGTGACTTCAGAAAACATAAATACTTGGTAAATATGACTAAGCATAAAGTAAAAGGTCTCAGTGCGGGGCCAGAGTTGATTGACGGAGTGTAACAGGAAAAACAAGAATGAAACAGCAACAACTCCTCTTCTCCACTCTGGTGTAAACATTCAGTAGATTCAGGGAAGACCCTCCATCAGGGAGAAATGTTTGGCTCAAAAGCTGTGACTCATCTCTGTTTTTACAGTTTCTGTCACATGTTAAACCCACAGCTCAACAGCAACAAGATCAGACATGATTTTTAAGGTCTGCCAGCATTCATGATCTTTTGTTATTCATTTCAAACTGTGATGAACAGAAATCCTCAAATCCTCAGAATAATTGAACATAAAGCAGCCCCCTTAAATTAATCTATGAAACGTGGCTTTGGGGCAGTTAACGCTCTCCTTATGTGAACTCTGAAGAACTTAAATCACTCTCTTCCCTTGAGTTTGGTCCAAGACCTGCAGGTGTCCTGTATGCACAATTTATTCAATTACCTTGTAAAGAGTGTCTGTTTTTGGAGATTTTATCCCTCTGTTAGGATTCATGTTGTCTTCATTTGCCCCCTACTTCCTCTACCCTTTTTTATACAATAAATTAAATTCTGTTTGACACGAGAAGTGCTTAAAAGTGGTTTCGGGCTTTCAGTTAAGGCCTCAGCTCTCACAGTGAGAGCTTTGAGATGCTCCACTCGAGTGAGAATCCTCCTTTCAGATGTCTTCATTAAGACAGACCCCCAGCAGCTTTACAACTGTAAGACCACCTGCAGGCAGCAAACAATAGACGGCCCCCTCCTCCGCTGCACAGTGAAAAATAGGACTAACTGACTCGATCCTTTGTCCTACATGTCACCAGTGTGTAGGCTTGTGTGCTGGGGGGGATGGATGTGGCAGGCTGTGAGGAGCAGTTTGTGGCATGGCAGGCAGTATACCTTCCTCACCAGGGAAGTATACTGGACATTGTTGTCACATGTTGGTGATGGTTAAAGAAAAATACTGACACTGTAAAAAGGCTTACTCTGACTGAAAGTTTGGTGAGGAGACTCAGTCAAGTTTTCACCTGATATAAAGCAGAGGTAGTTTGCATGAAGCCTAGATAACTGACTGTCTATAATGATGGATGACATGTTTCCACTGCTCTATTATTCAGAAGTGATGCCAAAAACCCCTGCTATGGTATACATAATGATCCAGTGTTGACAAGCTGCTGGACTGATGTCCCGCCAGGCCTGGATTGGTTGTCTGGAGCCCTGGAACATTTCCCGGTGGCCTGAGGGTCTGTTTGGCCTGCTGTGAACAGTCAGTGTGAACAGTAAGAATGAATGAATAGGACTCTCTGAATGGATGCATCATCATATGCAAGTGTGAGTCTCGTGGCTGCTTTATTGTGCTCAGCCAGTTACCGTGGCGTCTCAGCCCCTGACTGCAAAGCATAAAGCCATGGCCTCCCACCCCGTATGGCAACTGTCACTCACTGCTTCTCAATTGACATTACAGCATTATCCCCAGGTATAGAAGCAGGGAAGACAAGGAAAGGTGGAGCAGAAAGGGAGAGGATTAGAAAGGAAGGAAGGCTCACACTGCAGAAAAATAAAGGGTTCCTGGGTTCAAGGCCTGGATGGAGACACACCTTGTAGGCCTAGTACGGATTGCTGAACTCAAATTTATGCTATTCTATAATTATGAACTTCATCAACTACAAAATAAAGTTAAAATCACCTACAAAGGTAGGTATGGACAGGCTAACCTGTAGTGTAGAGGTTCAGACTGCTGCCTCCCCATGACATGGATCTTGGTTCAAATCCAGTATGAAGGCTCTTTAATTGAGCCTGGAACAAGTTCTTTCTGATTAATTACTTAAAGTAAATTGAGATACCAAAATCCATATTGATTGAAATGCCTTTTTCTTAAAGTTCAATCAACAGTCTTTACAGTTTATTTTGCACAGTACAGCAGTGAAACACCAGGAACGTGACTCACTGTGCTGATGAGTCCAATCCAATCCACTTTATTTATATAATAGCACATTTAGAAAACAATGAAGTTCAGCAAAGTGCTACACAGTAAAATAAGTTAAAACACACGGAATATGAAATGTTAAAATAAAATAATAATAGTGATAAAAAAACACATAAAAGCACTTTAAAAATAAACAATGAAGAAATAAAATAAAATAAAATGAAACACTGTAAGAGCAAATAAAAACCCAATGAAAGAACAGACAGAGAGAGAGCACACAGCTCTCATGCTGGCGAACTGGTGACGTTCGAACATATCATTGTGTTAAAGCGCCTCCTAGTGTGTAAAAGCTGCACTGCATGCCAATTAAAGAAAATACCATAGACATGCCGCATTCACTGCTGGGGCGCGTGCAATACGGCCGCCATCTTGGTGCGGTCATCCTAGATTCAAACAAAGTGGGGATTACATTTAACAAGTAAGATTCACAAGTAATTAAACAATGATCAACGACAATGATCAACTTTGGGTTTTTTTTTTAAACAGGGGGACAAAGTGCTTTACAGATGTAGTTACTGCTCTAAAATATTGATATGATAGGAGTATATATAGACTATTTTTAGTAGCCTTCTGAAGAAAATCGACTGAATTTAATTTAAGTAAAGGCTTCAGTGGAATTTATAATGAAACACAAAGTTTCCAGTTTTTGTTGGGTTTCCTATGAGACAAAGGCCTACTTAGCTATAGTTTTCAAAACGTTGTCGTTTTGTACCGAAACAAGGAAGGTTTTTAAATTAAAATGCTTTTAAACTCTTAAACTAGTTGACGAAAAATAACCTCCACTTTACTTCAAGGATATTTATATTCTATTGAGATTAAAGTAAATTAAAGATAATATTAAACTTTTAGATATAACCTACCATTGTAAGGGTTTTTCTAAAGTAAACAGCATTTTAAATCTCCATGGTAACCTGTAATGATGTAAAAACTTTAAATCATTACAAGCAAACGAGAGCGGTCATTTCTGAAGATCAAATCTGAAGAGAACAGCACGAAAAACTTAAGCGGCTCACGAACTTCACGGCTTCATCGTAAATAAAACCTCACCAGACGACTAAGGACTACGACAAACACCTCTAACCAACACCTGAACAGAAAGGACAACATCTACGACATGGAGACCGTAAGATTTCATGACAATATTATCATACAAACTTGTGTTACAGTCGAGACTTTCGTGATGGTTAAGCGATGCATCGACAAGGATTAAATGCGTGCATGGATATTTACAGTGTTTATGACCTTAATGTGACAGGCATTATCAAAACTAGAAAAAATTGCATTTCCTTGCAGAAAATGCGTGGAAATGCTGAGTGCTGGAAGCTGAAAAAGCAATGCTAAACTGCTAAAAAAAAAAAAAAATGGAGGAAGG